TGTAATTTTCCTTCTAGAGCTAGTCAAAGATTAAGGACAGCTGAACTTTCAAATGGTTAAAATGCATTCTCCTAATCCTTCATTTAGGATCAGGAAAAAAGAAACTTCCCTATTTCAAACAAAGAAAAAAATGGAGAAAGAGAGAAAGAAAAAGTATTCTCCTTGCTTTCTTTGGCCATATTAAAAGGACTTCAGTTTAAATAATTGGAAGTTGAATTGCTCTTAGAACTATTGTATAATTTGTGAGCTTGTCATACATGTTAGGCAGTGGCAAGTGAAGGTGGAACTGATGATGCTAAAAGAAGAGGTGATGCTTTTGCTCGTGCTTTCTCTGCTCACTTGGCAAGGTGACTTACTCTAATGATTTTTTTATATATATAGTTAGTTGATAACTGGTAATATCTAGTCAACCCCATAGATGGAAAAATATCATGATTGTAGCTGAGGTTTTATTTTTTTTATATTGTAGAGGATCATTATAAACAAGAGAAACATGGGAAAGGCAATAATTTTAAATTGAAAATCACTTTAGGTCACTTTGCTTAGAAACTGTTATCTGAGATCAATATAAATGCTGCTTTTCAAAAAGCTTGTGGCACAGTTTATTATTGTTTCTAAATTTTGTTGAACTAAAAGTTATTGGAGACAAATTGAATTTTTACTTTTGGATGCTTTTGCACTTACACCCAACCGAATAGGTTGATGGAGGAGCCAGCTGCATATGGGAAGTTAGGGTTGGCTAATCTTTTGGAACTAAGAGAAGAGTGCTTGAGGGAGTTTCAATTTCTTGATGCTTATAGAAGCATCAAACAGAGGTAACCTGCATTTCAACCAAGTTGTGAAAATGCTTTTTCATTTTTTAAAACTTAGCTGTCCACTTTTCGTGCAATCTCATATGTTATGTGTGCATGGACATTATGTAGGTGTGCTTCCTTCATTATACCTTGCATCAATACATTTGTTTTCTTATTTCTTCATACATGAGCTTCAAAAATTACATGTACCATACTTAACTTGATCCTAAAAAATATGAAAGTGTTTTAACACCTAAATATAAATTAGGTATATCTCTAGTGGCTTTTTAATTAATAAAATTTTGAAAATTTGTTGATGAAGAAAAATTTTGAAAATAATGCAAGCCTAATCCGGACAGGTGGACTTTCCTCCAGTAAAATGAAAAAATCTGCTTATTCTTTTCTCACAGAACTGGTTTAGTAAGAGGCTGAACAATTGCATTGGCTGCTTGCATTTGTTTGAAGAAAGGAAACACCATTTAAACTATTTTTAAGACATTTAATGTTTTCAAAGATAAGCCCAGTGGGAAAGCAAAATATAACTTTTGTCTTCCCCCCAACTGAGGTAGGTCTATGTGGTTACATTACGTGATTTAAATCTCTTTCAACATTTGATTTCCCAAGCATTTGTGCATGGGAGATGACAAGGGCATTAGAACTAGTCGGATATTTGTCCAAATACCTGCCTGCACTAGTAGCTACGCAGGCTTACTCATACAGTTTCATGATTCATCTTGCCAAATTCATGCAACACAGATGGTCATTCAATGTTGTTTCTTGGGATGATGGTTAAACTCCATTTACTTATCACTGTTTCACCGATCACAACAGGGAAAATGAGGCATCTCTTGCTGTTTTACCTGATCTGTTGATGGAGCTTGACTGTATGGATGAGGTATGTTTAACTTTGAATTTTTCCTTATTTCCTGATTGAAGGATCTTGCACTTACTGAAAAAATTATATCAGATAGTGTAAAATAACCTTGCTTCAAGTTTATTCATTCTTATCTGAAAAATGTTATTATATGTATGAAACTGCTGTATCAGGTAAAAGACTCAGATGTGAATATGTGATCATTTGATATAAATTCCGAATTGGATTTTTGGTTTGGGTCACATAGTTCACACCACCATCCACCAGTTGTAATGCACTGCCTTTCCTACTATTTTGCTGACCTTTCTTAATTCTCCTCATATGCAGGAGGCAAGGTTACTTACCTTAATTGAAGGTGTTCTAGCTGCAAATATATTTGACTGGGGATCCCGTGCCTGTGTTGATCTCTATCATGAAGGAACAATTATTGAAATTTATAGAATGAGTCGCAATAAAATGCAAAGACCTTGGCGGGTATGTGGAGAAAAAATTGAATATATTTAAGGAATCTTGAGTTGCACTGTATTTTTTATTGAATAGAAAATTCAGTTCAGAAAAAAAACTCAGAAACAAACTCTTTGTTTCTGTACTACAGGTGGACGATTTTGACCTCTTTAAGGAAAGAATGTTGGGATCGGAAGGGAAGAAACCTCAGCCCCATAAGAGAGCTTTACTCTTTGTGGACAACTCAGGTGCTGATGTTGTCCTGGGCATGCTTCCACTAGCAAGAGAACTCCTCCGGTGTGGAACAGAAGTAAGTTTGTCTCTTTATTGTGCTGGTCAAAGATCTTCCACTGAATAATGACTTGGAGAATGAGATTGCCTCAAGTAGTTGAGTCCTATACACTTCTGAGCCCTCCATTGTCAGTGTGAAATGTGTCTGTGTTCTCTTTCAATGCTTTGTGTCATAAATTAAGAAGTATAATTATTCTCTTCTGAAGATGATTATTGTGCTGCACAAAAATGCCTTAACTTTTGAACTGAAATAGCAATCTTGTTTTGTGGCCTGGTTATCTTCTGCAATGGCTTTATCTTATTTCCTTACCATTCAAATTGCAGATTAACTTATAATGAGATGTTTCTTCAGGTTGTTTTGGTTGCAAATTCTCTTCCTGCACTGAATGATGTAACTGCTATGGAGCTTCCCGATATCGTTGCTGAGGCTGCAAAGGTTTGCCTTTTCTTGATATTGCTTGCTTTTCCCTTTCACTTCGCTTCTCCATTATTTTTTATTTGAATACGTTTTTTGAAGCATCTCCTCATTTTATTCTAGAGAGAGAGGGAATCAGGTTCACACATAAACTTGAATTATAGATGAATTAGTGGACAACTTGCATCTAACTTGAGAGTTTACAAGACCTTTCTAGCAGAGATTGGGGATGAAAGAAAAATGAAATCAAAATTTTAATGCAACAGAGACATGTAAATGGCTTCATTTCTAGTTTCAGCTTTTCAGCTTTTGTTGTACTTTTTACCATCATGCATTCAACATGGTAAGCTGATTCTTCTTAGTCCACAGCATTGTGATATCCTTCGCAGAGCTGCTGAAGCTGGGGGTCTCCTGGTGGATGCAATGAACAATACATTAGATGGTTCTAAAGAAAATGCATCTTCAGTTCCTTTGATGGTTGTTGAGAATGGGTGTGGGAGCCCATGCATAGATTTACGGCAGGTCAGCTCTGAGCTAGCTGCAGCAGCCAAAGATGCTGATTTGGTATGGTATTTGTTCTCTGATGCTTGCTTTTCACCGACTTGCTTACATCTGTCATGAGAATAAGAGAAATCATGCATTTTTGCCGTGCAGATTATCTTAGAAGGGATGGGTAGAGCTCTCCACACCAACTTTAATGCTCGGTTCAAATGTGAAGCCCTGAAGGTATGGTTCTGTGATTTTCTATGGAAACAATTAAATGTAGCCTTTTCTGTAGTATACGGAATATTTATTGAGTGGAATCTTTGTATCAGATTTTTCTTTAGCTTATGGTTTGTTACGCTGGTAATCCTCACCAAATCACTTGATGTAGAGGAGAGGGTAGAAAATATTTCAGCATTTCAGCTTTTGCAAAAATATACGTTTTAGAGGTTTCTCGGGACCCTTGACCTAACACAAATACCCTGTTTGCAGCTCGCAATGGTGAAGAATCAGAGGTTGGCAGAAAAACTGATTAAAGGAAAGATATATGATTGCGTTTGCAGATACGAACCTGCCAATTGAAATCTGATAGACAAACAACTTAAGGAAAAAACTGATAACAACTTCAGGAGTGGAGATGGAGCAAAGGAAAGCCCACAGCATTAGCCTATATCTTCCTTTTGTCTGTTTTTAAGTTTATGATTTGTTGAGTAGAGCACTTGGTATTTACCAGGCAGCTGCTCGCAGAGCTTCTTCAAATTGTGTTACTATTAGTAGCTCCATCATTAGCTGATTTCAGAGGGATAACAAATCTTCATTAGGATATTACATTGGAAAAGTTCTTCATACATCAACTGTAATTAATCAGGAGAAAACATGTTTGTAGATTGTTGTCAGAAATGTAGTTTAGCATCAGAACTATTATTTGTTATTTGTAACTTGCTAAACTACTTTATACTAAATCTTTGTGCCGGTCCAAATTATCAAAAGGATGGTAACAGTTTTACCAAAAATCGTGTTTCAGGATGGTAATGGTTTGGCAAAGAAGACTGTTCAAGCACAGTTTAACAGTACTAGTACATTGCGGCGAACAAGCATCCGTGGGCGTTTGGTCTAGTGGTATGATTCTCGCTTTGGGTGCGAGAGGTCCCGAGTTCGATTCTCGGAACGCCCCCGTCTGTTTTGGCAAATTTTCTTTAAAAAATTCCGGTCCTATGGCCACCTATGTGACGGGCAGAAGAGATTGGAAATAGGCCAGAGCAGGAAGCCCCAGAATCCTGAAATAGATATGGCTTGCTAGTAGGTGAGGCTTTCCAATAAGTTAGTCTGGTTTTGTGGCGAATGAGCAAACTCTCCACATTCAACTTGAGAATCCCAAGGGAGGATCCATCAACATATAACATAAACATTCACATGGAATTAGAATCTAGGGATGTGGGGTATGTGGATGCCCTTTAGCCATAACTATTTTCCCACAGGTATATGCAATTGTTTGTCATACACCAGTTCAACGGCAATCAAGGTTGTTATTTGATGATTCACACTTTCCAAATATAACTTTCACAGGTTTGCTCAACCTGCATCAAAAAGGATGCAGAAAGAAATAGAGATAGCACAATGGACAGTAAGACGAGCAAATGAATTGATGTCTGAAAATGAAGAAAAGCATATTGAATCCAACATAGCCACTTAACATATGTAAGACTGAAGATATAAGTTGCCTTTTCTTCTTCTTCCAAAATTTTCATCCTAGAAAGAAATTCTGTAAATTACATTTCAACAGTATCCAACTGTCTACACATTGAAAACCGGGGCATTTGAAACAAAATCAAAATTTCAAACCTGATTATTGCTTTGCATCTCTGAATCTGATTAATGGTAGAATCTGATTAACGGTAGCCTTACCATACAACAAAACTTATACGGTAGCATGTTTCCATCGTTTCCCCAATATGGCTGACTCATTAAAACAGAACAATAAAAAGCAGCGAGAAAGATAACAAAAAGCTCACTCCATGACAGCAACTCCTCCAGCTGACTTAATCTTCTCAATTATGTCATTTGCTTCCTCCTTGGTGATGCCTTGTTTGAGCAAAACAGGTACCTTTTCAACAAGGTCCTTGGCCTCTTTCAAACCCAAATTAGTAAAAGCTCTCACTTCTTTAATAACCTTGATTTTTGCAGCAGCATCAAACTTCTCCAACTTAACATCAAATGCTGTTTTCTCTTTCTTCTCCTCAACCTTCCTAGCTCCTGCATCTCCTCCACCTTGTGAACCTAAGTCCATCCCTTCAGTGTCAATCGGCTGCAATTTTGGGTGCCTTAGCCTCTCGGACAGAGTAGGACCAATTTGTCTGCGTTCTTCAGGTAGTAGGGAAGCAATGCGCTCTGCCAGTTGAACAATCTTATCAGAGGGCGGAGGTCTTGGGCCGTATGGATCATAGAATTGTGGATATTTGAACCTTTTAGGCTTAGCATTGGGATCTGTTGGAACAAAATCATGCTGGAAGGTACGAGACTGCAAAGGTCCAGTTACTTCACGAACAAAGGGATGGACACGAATCACTTTTACAAGTCCAAACAGCTTCATGATTTGCATCAGATAAAACAATGACTCATGGAAAATATGGACAGAAAGAACTTATCTGCTTCAACCAAGTAACTAGAAGTTGCCAACCGTTCAACACCACCTCATAAGATCTCACCTGCATGTGAAACGACAATTAACACCACTTTTGCAGAGGAAAAGAATCCCTGCTCACAGCCAAAAACACAATGCTAATATCTGGCCATCCACATAACAGATGTTAGTCGTGGCAAGGACTAATTAATCATGCCCATTCCCTTACAAATATAGTCATTCCAATGCACTGAAATCATTCTCCATATATTTACTTAGCACATTACATTTAGTTGATGGAATTATGGACTAAGCAATCTTGGAGCTCTATCAGTGGCTTAGGGAATAAATAAGTCAAGCCTATTCACAAATTACTTGGGCTCGACTCGCAAAATATTCAACTTCAATTAGTTCACAACCAAGTCGAGCTCAATAATCAAGCAAGCCAAGCTCAAGTATTAGAACACTTGGCTCGAGCAAGTCAAGATCCTAACTGAGCTCCAAAAGCACATAAACAACAACAACAACCAAATTACATGCAATACGCTTTAACTTAATTTTAAGTTACTGATAACAACAAAACGGAGTTCTTAACTTCAAGTAGCTCTTACTCCTTTCAAGGTAAGCTTGAGTTTGAGCAACGAATCTTGATCAATCAAAGTTTACCAAACTTACCAAAACTGGGTTGCTTTTAGTTTCATTAAATAAGATTGAGATCATCGAAAGGAATTTTCAATCAGAACGAGAACGAGATTTGGGACGTATCCAAAACCAGATATGAACTAAAAAAACACTATGATTCCAGTAAAAGAAGAAGAAAAATTACATATATCTTCCCAAATCAATCCCCGTTTTGAATAATAAAGGCAAATCGTAGAACCCAATATGAATCGAGACAAAAGAAAAAGTTCACTTACTTGAGAGGAAATGAAAAGGACTGTGCCCTTGGATTGGCGCGGCGGCGAGAGGCAGATAGAAAGGCGGAGGAAGGTGAGGGAAAGGAGGCGAGAACAACGAGTTCCTTTCGAAATTTCGGCGTGTGACTTTGGACTTTGTTTGGGCCGATGGAAATTATGCAAAGAAGAAACGCTTGGCCCAAAACGCTGCCTGTTCAAAATAAAACGACAACAAACCGTTCCAGTTAGTAAGCCTTTCATTTTTGTTAGTATTTAAAACCCAAGTCCATAAATTCCCATTTTTAAAGGACTAGTAGGCTCATGCAGTCATATAAAATCTAATATTTATACCTTATTTAAACTCGATTAACAATATCTTATTAAAATTCTATTAAAATCTGAATCTGTTTATTTAGTTAAAAGTGAAACTTGACCCAACCAGAATTTAATAATAAAAAATAAAATTTTAATCATTTTTATGTAATTTATTAATCAAAATTAAATTAATTAATTCAAAATAAATTTTACATTTAGCTAATTAATAAATTAAAATAAATAATTTGTCAATTACAAATATATATATCCTAAAAAATAATATGAAAATTAAAATACTTATTAAAAAATTCATTATATAAAATCATATTCGAATAACAGAAATTTTTAAATTACTAATTGAAACCGTTTCGATTTAAATGGACCAAATACTACAGAACAACCGTTTAGGTACTACCCATTGTCATCTCAATTAGTAGATAATTTGTCCATTAATTGTAAATTTTAGTACAAGAAAGAAAATGGAAACGATGAGTTACACTTGCACATAAGCTTCTTCTTAGGTCGATTTCTGTAGCAAATGGCTATCTTTTTTCTTGGCAAAAGCAGGATATAAGAAATGAAAATCCCATATTCATCTTTTCCTTTTTTTGGTTGTGGAAAAGAGTCTCCCTCCTAAGGACAGGAGAGAGAGTACCTGGCTTACTTGCCATGCTCCTAGTCCTAGGGATGAGCAGGAAGACACCTAGGGTCACATGCAAACAGCAGGCAGGGCAGTTTCAACCTCATGCTCCCAGTCCCAGGTCATAACCATTATCAGACAATGCAGATATTAAGATACAAAAAGTGACAGAAATTTAAAAGAACTGGAAAAGAGCACTCTATAACTTCCTCGGTATAACAACAAAATCCTAGAGCTTAGAATTTCTTTCACCCAAGACACCTGAGCAGAAAGAAAGGAAAAAATAAAGTAAAGCAAACATTAATACACTAAGGTGGCTATTTTTGGGAAACTGCCTTCAGAGTTTCTCATTCACAAACAGTGTTTGCTTCTTGTTAAGTCAATAAAAATCAAAGGCCACCACAACAAAAAAACCAGATGCATTTACTTGGAACTCGACAATCTAGACTAATTAATGCAGATGATGATCCACAGTCATTTTAAACAACGTGCTGCCGGCAGGATTTCTAAGTAGTTGATTACAGATTGCTTCAGACCAATGGATTTGTCGTAGAGGGTCCATAGTTATTCATCATTCCAGACCATGATCCCAAGTTGTTCAAGTATCCGTAAGTGTCTTTCCCAGCATCAGAACATCCTTGGTCTTGCCAGTCAAGGGACAAGAGTTTGGTGTTTGGCTTCACATCGACTGCATGTTGATCTTCATTTGCATCATAAGGAAGCATTATCCTCTGGCAGGTGTCCAGGAAAGTGCCACCGTTGCCATCAAGGGACATCCCGTATGGAGAGCAAAGGCCATGAAGATTTGGTGCCAACCCATGGCCCATATCGCCAAGTCCCCCAACCATACCCAACTCACCATTCCCCATAAAGTCATAGTTCCTAGAGCTCCCAACAATGGCTTCTAGCTTGCTCTCCATGAAATCAATCGGCCTTGGATTTTCAAGCAGAGAATTGTACTTGCTCTCCATGAAGTTATTATTAGGACCATGAGTACCAAGCATGTTATTAAGGTGAGAAAGGTGCATTTCAGGAAATGAAAGGTGAAGATCAGTGGGATTATGTGAAGATGATCCAGGGTTGTTGCTGTTTGCTGATTGATCATTTGATTTCTTAGAAGCAACTTTCTTGTTCTTTCTACAGCCTCCACCAACAGGAATGTTCCTTAGCGTCCCTCCCTTGGTCCAGTACCTCCTACAAGTCTTGCAAAAGTACCTGGGCTGGGAGAGACTGTAATTGTTGTAGTAGCAAAACTTGGTGTGTGTGGAGTCACACCTGGGGCACTTGAGAGCTTGGTCATGCGGGGGCCTCAGCCTCCTTTCTATCAAGGGCCTCGAACATGCGAGCATATCACCAGATGGGGATGAAGAATCCATTCCAGACTCCTCGTGAATCGTTCCCTAAACATGGAAAACAAGGTAGTAGTGGAAAATGTGTCAGAATTGTCAATTTAAAACAGTAATGAACAGTGTTAGGACTAGACATTCTTTGTCCTTTTCAGGCGGCAGATAATGAAATGACTCAATATTCCTTTATCCTTTCCACATATCCAACTACATTGTCTGAATGCAAAAAAAAAAATTCCTACTGTACTAACGCATAGAACAATAATTGCTAAACGAAACCCGAGAAGGGAATTCCGCAGTTTAAGCTTCCAAATCCAGTAAAAACAGTTGGCATATCTGGCAGCAAGATGTTAGTAGTACTAACATAATCCACGCATTCAGTGTAGTTTAGACTTCAAAAGCAAATGAGGAATCAGTGCGTTTTCTTTCATGCCATTTCAAAGTTCAAACACAGTGAAAATCCTTTCTAATTGACGTTGTTTCATTATTCATTGGAGTTATATGACACCCTAAGGTCATAACCAAGTACACCAAGACAACCATCTAGCTTGGCCGATGATGAAGAAAAAGAAAGATGTATATACAAGACTTATAGCTTTGAAATGGCATGGAACAGGCATACCTGAAGCCAGTCAGACGAATCCATGCAAACTTGCAGAGAAGTAAGACCCATTGAAACAAAATCGACCCAACAAAGACAGAATGCCAAATATGCAAAAGAAAACAATTACTCTCTGCTCAGCACCCTTTCTCCCTTCACTAACACTTGAGAGAGAGGCACAAGGGTACAGAAGAAGAGGGATGAGGAGGAGAGTAAGTGAGAGAGAGTTGTCACAGGGATTGAAATGGTTTGTGTCAGCTAAGGGGTTGGCTGTGAATAAGAAGGAAGAAAAAGGCATGAAGGAAGTAGAGTACATAAATAGAGAGGTGATACCGTGTAGCTACGGTCCAATCCATTTCCCCCTAGTCGTCGGTGAGCCAAAAACAATATATTTGATGGGCCACCACGATGCTGTCCAATCCGAGGACAAAGGGCCCACTTATCACCACCTTGACTAACACTAGTCTAGCTTGATCAAGGGCTGTGATGTCACCTTGGTCGTCCGGTTGGGACAACCTGAGCCGTGAGATATGGGTTGGTTAGAAATTTACGTCAGAAATATCGGTCGAGTCGTCACAATGAAAACGCAGACTCGTGTTTGACGTGACTCAGCCGATAGAAGGAAAGAGAATAATAATTTTTTGTTGGGCTTTTCGATAAAGCGGGGAGGGAGGGCATACCGAAAGAGCACTCCACTTGCGGGCCCCAAAACGACTGAGGGGCCCCCACTCGCCCTCCTCCTGCAAGCAAAGGATCGATTCTGCTCTCCCCACCTCGTCACGTGCCTCCCTCATCCATGGCCTCCTATACTAGTCACTTGCCTCTTTACGTTCTTTATTTCCCTGGATAAATAGCTTCCTTTAACCTATTTTATCCCAAGAGAGAGTTGCAGTCTAGATAGCATCAGCAAAGGCTTCTCACCATCAAGATTAATAAATCACTCGATTCAATGAATCCTTCGTTGACTCTCTAAGTATTAATGAATGGCTCATCAGGCCAGGTGCATGGCTTTATCCATTGGTTTTGATTTGCTTAGGCACATTTGCCTGAATGCCTGAATGCATGGATTTGTTTTCCTCTAGGAAATTGCTTGTTTTCAGTGTCAGCAACTACATTCCTTTGCAAGCTAACCTATCTTTCCCTGCCTGTGAAAAAAAAATTAAAATAAACCAAACCCACAAAAAGATAGACAGAGGGAATGAATACTTTTATCAAGATACCCAGTTTTCAAATCAAAATTCCTCCAGCTAGGCGGCTTTGGTTTTCTTGGATTCAAAAACCAGACAAATTTCAACAAAACACTCGATGGCTAGCTGTAGCTAGAAAACGAGATGCTTGGGACAGCCAGTTTCAGAAACTAGCTTCAGGATCACACTTAACCAAGAGAGGAGGGCCCAAAAGTACAAACTGTCAGGTGAATAAAGTGCACTTACATGCCCACGTTTTCACCGTACATTTATACCCTTGACAGTTCCTTCAGGGTAAAGAGAAGGAGGATGATCAGTTTCAGCATGGTCCACACAGTAAAATTAATCCCATCATTAATTTTCCTTTAGGCTTCATTCTTTTTTTCTTCTCTGGTTCAGGGAAACAATCATCTCCCAATGATAACTGATCAATGACCCTTTTTTCCCTTCTCCCCTCCATTGCCTTATCCCCAAAAGGGAAATCAAGGTTTTTGTAACGCACAGAAACTAATCATTTGCTAATTCATTAAGTAGCTCGATCCATCATGGCTGTGTTGAAACTTCTCAAAATGAAAAAAAAAAAAAACTAAGATGAATATAGAAAAAAGAACAAGGGGAAGTAATACAACTTAATTCTCTTGAGTAATGTGAATGAAGATTTGGGTTACTTTTTGATGTACTACTAAGAATTTGATGGAATCATTTTCAGCTACTAGAGAAAACTGGCCAACAGTTGTCATCCTCTGCATAAAATAGCGACAGTGGACCTGTCAGATTTTTGTGTGTGTATATGGGGTATCTTTGTTGCCCAATGGTGACAAAATCAATGTGAATTCATAGCCTTAGATTTGGATCAAACATGCTACTTGCTTCTTTTGTAAGAAAAAACTTAACAAATTGTCAAAAACCCTTTGGAAGTGAAAGACCCATGGGAGTGGCTTTGGTTTTCATCTGTCCTTTTCGTATTCAACACAAATCATTTTCTAATTTAGAATATGCATACATGATAGTTATAATCCCTTTTTCAATCTTTCACACGTTCAGATTTAAATTTAAAACATTTAATTCAATGTATAAAGAAAACACTAATTATTTCAAAATTTTCGTTTCAAGTTGACATCTGGACCCGATCGCAATGCCAAACTAGAGTATAAGTCGATATTGAAATCTTGAATTCAACAATAAGTAGGTAATTCAAAGTTAAAAGGAAAATGAGAATCGATTTTCTTACAAGATTTTCCACCAACCCAATCACACTATCAAACTAAGTGTAAACTTTGTTTCAAACTGCTCAATTTCAAATCAGCAACTTTGCTTCAAAATTATTCCTCTTTATCAAAGTAACCATATATCAACAAAGAAAGGTGAAAGAAACAATCTAGCTTCAGCTTCACGATACCGCCATACCCACATCTTGAATCAGTTCTTTAGCAAACCTATTTTTTTTTCTTTCCTTTTGAAGATCAGCAGCCTAAAGCTCAGGAAAAGCCATGAATTCATCACTCTCTTATAAAAAAATCTGGGGTCTTTCTCTTTTTATTTTTTTTTCCTCTCCTTTTCCTTTTGGAAATTTACAATCTTTTGATCGGATTAGTAAGCAACATTGTTACACGTACACCCCTTATCAGAAAAGACAAAAACATTGTTGATCGTATCTTTGTCTTGGCTCAAAGATGAAACACAGGAAACCTTCAAATTTTAAATTGAAAAACCAGGAGGGGGAGGGGCTTTAGCCATATAAGAATCAAACAAAGTTGCATGGGAGAGAGAAAGGAACCCAGACCCAGTTTTGGATGATGGCGATCATCAAATTCTGATGTGGTCCTCAGCATGACGAATTGATGATTGTGGTCAAACAATGGAAATCTCGTAAAGAGTGCAGTCAATCTGGGTTTATATCCTTGGGCCTAGCTCGGGAGGAAGGGACAAGGGGGAGTCTTATCATTGATCCTTAAGCTTTTCTAGGGCACATGGAAGGCAATGATGCACCCCATCAAACAGGGTTTCCGGGTCCATGATTGCATGGGAAAAAAATAAACTAAAGAAAAGTTTCTGCAATGAGTGTGATTTGTCTCTTGATCCAACGGCGCGGTTTGCTTTTGATCAAGTCAATCACAGCTTAGAACAGTTGCTAAAGTTGCCGAGGAGGGTTCAGCAAAGGGTTCAGGTGTGAAAACCAAAGTGAAAAAGAATGCTTAAGGGGTCCTAGGAAGATAACCTAAGATTGTCTGATCTGATGCAAGGATCCATGGCCCCGTGCATTTGAAAGATTTGGTGTGACAGATAGGGTTAATTAATGGACTAACATTAAGCTATTTGCATGGAACCTTTTTCTAACGTGGACAATGTTGGGGACCAGATTGGTGGATATGCTTATCGTCTATGCTTCCCACTTTAGCCTCCAAGAGCGTGTACCACATGTTTTGCTTGTAAATTTTTAAAAATACTTTAATATTATTTAATAATAAATTTAATAAATATATAGATATTTCGATATGAATATTAATTTATTCAAATTGAAATAAGATCAAAATTTATTAAATTTAATTAATTTGTTTTCAATAATAATTGATTACAAAAATGATCTATTTATTATTTTGATCGGTTTTTGAAATTTACAATTAAATCAATAAAAATCATTATATTTTAAAAGTATTGTATTTAAATCAAAAAATAACTGACGTAGTTTAATTGATTTCGATCATTTCTTATAACAACTCGGTTAATTCTTACAAGATAAACATAAGGTTAAGACCAAAAGCAAAACAATTTTCTCAACTTGATGCTTAATACCATAGTAGTAATCAAATCAGTAGGAGCGTGAGTGGCACTGTATTTTGATGGGCGAGTGGGGTTCATCCGGAGGCAAAGTTGCCGGGCTGCTCTAAACAATTGCGACACTGAGCTGGTGCAGCTCCAATGCGCATGCGCGACACCTCCAACGGTGACTGCGGCGCCGGGCGAAATCAAAACAAAAGGAAGAACAAAGGCCACGCCATGCCATGCTACTAGCCACCTTACTTACCTCAGGAATTTCTATTTAACCGAATCTCAAGGGTCGGTGGACAGGATCTTTAGACGACTTCCACCCTACAATTATTTTATTCTAATTATCATTCTCCTACTACAGTTACTATTATATACTAATATCTTATTATTTAACTATTTTTAAAAAATTCACATTAAATAAATTAAAAATATTTTAAGAATTTATATATAACAAGAATTTCTTCTTTTATTATAAATTAATTTTAAGTTAGATGTCCGATTTAAAAATTAAATATAGTATCCTACTCTCATTTGTTGGTTGTTTCATGAGTTTTTTTAATAGTTATATCAAATGATAAATCCGTTATCTTTATAAGTAAAAGAAAATATTAAGACATCTTCCCTTAATATCTAGTCCCTGTCGTCGCCAATCTTGTCTTTGAACAAGCAGACTACAGACGGCTTTCTTACCTTATATTCGTCGCTAATTGCCAATTCCCAATTGGCATCTTCCTCTTATCAAAAATTCTTTTGTCTCTTTTTAGTAACGTGATCCATGATTTGAATATGTTAGGGGAAATGTAATCTAAGATTTTTCTTTTTAATGGTAAGTGAATGGAATTTATTGATTTAGCTAGCTATCTAGCTTTGCTTCAAGTGATGTATTGAATATATATATATATATATATATGTTTCTTCCTAATTAAACTGATTTGATTTGAAATAGAAAGAATAAATAAAATATCAACAGTTCAAATTTAATAATCAAAAGGAAATAATTAGTAGTTCATATTCACTTCTTGAAATTATATATATTAATTTAATCGTGATTACACTTTTAATTTGAACTAATTAGTCCGATGAACAAATAATTAAAGCATTAATTGAATAGAGTCTTAATTACATTAAAACTTAATGATTTTTTTCAAAAAAAGGGTTGATCATATAATATATTTCATTATAAATTTGACACTAACTTGTTTTTGTTCTTATCAGCATGCATATGTATATGCATGCATCTGAATAGTCAACAAGGAAATTGATCAATGGTATTATTCATGAGTATGGCATACTTTTCTTCAATTAATCAT